GTTATCTCTTCTGATAATGAAGAGATGTAGTAGATTTTTATAGTATTTTAATTTCCTTTATTTTTTTCCCCATTCTGCTCCACTGTCCATTTCTCTAGCTATGCTGTACAAGTTGAAAAATCACTTAATGTATGGAGTTACAGAAAACCACATAATGCAATGTGGGTGTGGTTTAGCTAAAATTGACAGAGGACATGTCTCCTACTGAAGGTAATGGTTTAAATACGGGAATTACCCAGTTACCACTTTTTCCTAGCTTGATCTGGGGAGTGCATGTGCCACTCTGATGATCAGCTATTAAGCTCTCACCAGCTTCACTTTAACTAATGTTAGTATTTCACAGCTGCAGTCAGCCAGCAGGAGCCAAAGGCAGCATGGGTGTTTGGCTGAACAGAGGTCTGCCTCTCTACTTGGGGGTTCTTGACGCAAGGATAATCGCTGATAAAATTATTTGTAGGGTGTTTGGGCTGAAAGTCCTGAAATGAAGTATGCAGCCAGTCAAGTTCTTGCTTCTTGCTCTCTTTAACAGTACATACCCTCACATGAAGCAATGTATGTGCACATAGCAGAAGCGCTCTTACTGAAGGTGTTTGCAGCACAATGCCAGACTTTGATTAGAGCCACTGCATACTAACTCAAAGCAGAGAAATAAGACAGCTGGCAACTAACAAAGAGAAGAAAAAACATTCCATCTTTTTTCCTTCTGAAGTCCATGCTACTGGCAGATTTCCTTATGGAACCAGAGGGTGATAGTAAAAATCTGCAATCAAGAGCATCCATTCCTAGCTGAGAAAGAAAGAAATCTTCCTTACTTCATCCCAGTCCCCTCTGCACTTCCCTTGTTCACTGACCCACTGATCTCACCTGTGGGCAGAGGAAACAAACTGGAGGGTTGGCACAGTTTTGCTCAAGATTAGACACAACAGCCATCATTACAGTAAGGAGAACATTTTACAAGTTTACAGCCCATTTAATTCCCTTCAAAAGGTTGTATGCCTACAGCAACTTTTATCTATAATAGGTAGTGCTTGTATCAGCTACTGTCCCTTTCTATTCAGGGATACATGTATTAAGAATTGGAGTTTAAAATAAAGCTAATTAAAGACTGAGTCCAGAATCACCTGCTGCTGTTCCTCAGTTTGGGGGGGAAGGGAAAAAAAAAAAAGTAAAACAACTCCACAACCAGGAAAGACAAACTGTGCTTTTCAAGATCTGGCTTCTAACCTTCTCTTAACACGCAGAAGTCAGTTTGTAGCAACTGGGGCCACTCCAGGAGATGCATTTCTAAACCAAGCACAAAACTATGTCTGTGCTGCCCCTAGTTTTGCTATGAAGATCAGATCAACAGCAATGTAGTCCCTAACATCCATGTTCGTTATAAGGTCAAATTTGACAACATATGCTCTTTTATGTCAATATTTCTGCTGTTAAAATAAGGCTCTGTGTGATACTTTTGCCTTTCATAACAGAAAAGTGAGTTAATCAGCTCTTCAGATGAAGAGTGCTAAGCCTGCAACTCATGATTTTTCAGCAGAAAGACATACTCCTACAGTGTTGTGTTTGAGATGCAAGAACTTCAAGACATCACTCAGAGCCAGTCCTCCTTTTTGGCAAACACGGGAAGCTGTTTTATGATACTTTTCTTTAAAGTTCCTCCAGTGAAGTTCAATTAAACTGGAGACATATCGAAGATTGTTACTGATAAAATGTAGTTTTATTAAATTATAAATTCCGTAACAAAAACGAGACAGATCAAGAAAGACCTCAAAAACAAAGCTACAAGGACTAGATGGCAAAGCCAATGAAAATGCCATGAAGAGTGTATAGGTAAGAATTTGCAACAAAAGTTAACAGCATTTTTACATTTCCATTGAAGGAAGGTAAATGATTGCTCTTGTCTAGTAAAAACACATTTTAACTCCAAACTCACATCTATTTTCTCACATTAAATTAAGCATCCTGCTCACACCCAACATCTTGCCGGCTCCCACATTGCCTTAGTGTTCTTTTCATACATCAACCCATGCAGAAAGTAGTAAGACACTTAATGCAACAGTCAGATAATGAAGACAATTCAA